CGAAAAATCGTCCGAAAAATGTGTCAAAACGGCGCTTTTTTCCGATTTTAGGTACCCTCAAAACGGGGGGGGGGCCTTTTGCTCTTGGAGACGCTTATGAGCGACCCGGATTCCGGCCAAAAAGCTCTCCCCCACCCTCCTGAAGGATTTTTGGTGTTTTTCGGGGCCCGGCGTCGGAGGGTCGGCGGTTTGGGGCGCGCCTCACCATAGAGCTCTAGTCGCTCTGGGACGCTCGTAGGGCAAGCCACTCGTGTGGAGCCGGCGGAGCCGAATTAAGGGGCTACGCCCCCTGCCGCCGACCCCAGGCAGGGTAGCGTGAATATACTCAAGACGGCACACAAGTATGCAACGCATGCACAGCCTTTGCCTTCGTTTGCCGTCTTGCTCATCGCACGAATCAACGCCTGGCCCGCTTGCGCCAACGCGAAACCCGCCACCGTCACGCAGCAATCCTAGAGGACGTTCGCAAGGAAATTCAGGAAATACACGAAGCAAGACAAACTTCCACGCGACGAGCAGAAGCTCCCAAAACGGACACTGCCCACGCATCGAACCAGCAGCTTGCTGTCGGGCCTGACACGGTTACGCCACAACTGTACACATACATCTGCCCACACTGCGCCAAATCTGTGCAAAGCAAAGTGGCAACAGGACAAATCGATCACCGCCGAGGTGATGGTTGCGGCCACAAATTTCGCGTTGCAAATGGCTTGCTTGCAGGTCGCACGCATACGCACACGTGTCCGACATGCAGCGCGGTGGTGCATTCAACAAAAGCTTCCGGCCGAATTCAAGTAACTCATCGCACTCCCAACGGAAAGCAGTGTCCCACCAACCACTGGCACGTGCATAGTTGATGGAACCCTCCGGGCAACGGCTCCCACTGCCTAACCTGCAAGAAAACTAGTTCTCTTCCAGCTGTCAACGCTCACAAACGGCGCCCTCGCCACAGCAAAACAGCAGGGCCCTGAAGGACGGACCGAGCCTCCGGGCAACGGCCCCCAGTGCCTAACGTTGCTTTCTGAACCTACAAGAAAACTATAGCTATAGCTCTCTTCCAGCCGTCAAGGCTCACAAACAACGCCCTCGCCACAGCAAAACAGCAGGGCCCTGAAGGACGGACCGAGCCTCCGGGCAACGGCTCCCACTGCCTAACGTTGCTTTCTGAACCTGCAAGAAAACTAGCTTTCTTCCAGCTGTCAAGGCTCACAAACGGCGCCCTCGCCACAGCAAAACAGCAGGGCCCTGAAGGACGGACCGAGCCTCCGGGCAACGGCTCCCAAACTAGCTCTCTTCCAGCCGTCAAGGTTTAGAAACGGCGCCCTCGCCACAGCAAAACAGCAGGGCCCTGAAGGACGGACCGAGCCTCCGGGCAACGGCTCCCACTGCCTAACGTTGCTTTCTGAACCTACACGAAAACTAGCTCTCTTCCAGCCGTCAAGGCTCACAAACGGCGCCCTCGCCACAGCAAAACAGCAGGGCCCTGAAGGACAGACCGAGCCTCCGGGCAACGGCTCCCACTGCCTAACGTTGCTTTCTGAACCTACAAGAAAACTAGCTCTCTTCCAGCCGTCAAGGCTCACAAACGGCGCCCTCGCCACAGCAAAACAGCAGGGCCCTGAAGGACCGACCGAGCCTCCGGGCAACGGCTCCCACTGCCTAACGTTGCTTTCTGAACCTACAAGAAAACTAGCTCTCTTCCAGCCGTCAAGGCTCACAAACGGCGCCCACGCCACAGCAAAACAGCAGGGCCCTGAAGGACGGACCGAGCCTCCGGGCAACGGCTCCCACTGCCTAACGTTGCTTTCTGAACCTACAAGAAAACAAGCTCTCTTCCAGCCGTCAACCCTTCAAAAACGCGCCGTCAAGGTTCACAAACGGCGCCCTCGCCACAGCAAAACAGCAGGGCCCTGAAGGACGGACCGAGCCTCCGGGCAACGGCTCCCACGGCCTAACGTTGCTTTCTGAACCTACAAGAAAACTAGCTCTCTTCCAGCCGTCAAGGCTCACAAACGGCGCCCTCGCCACAGCAAAACAGCAGGGCCCTGAAGGACGGACCGAGCCTCCGGGCAACGGCTCCCAAACTAGCTCTCTTCCAGCCGTGAAGACTCACAAACGGCGCCTCCGCCACAGCAAAACAGCAGGGCCCTGAAGGACGGACCGAGCCTCCGGGCAACGGCTCCCAAACTAGCTCTCTTCCAGCCGTCAAGGTTCACAAACGGCGCCCTCGCCACAGCAAAACAGCAGGGCCCTGAAGGACGGACCGAGCCTCCGGGCAACGGCTCCCACTGCCTAACGTTGCTTTCTGAACCTACAAGAAAACTAGCTCTCTTCCAGCCGTCAAGGCTCACAAACGGCGCCCCCGCCACAGCAAAACAGCAGGGCCCTGAAGGACGGACCGAGCCTCCGGGCAACGGCTCCCACTGCTTAACGTTACTAACGTTGCTTTCTGAAGCTACAAGAAAACTAGCTCTCTTCCAGCCGTCAAGGCTCACAAACGGCGCCCTCGCCACAGCAAAACAGCAGGGCCCTGAAGGACGGACCGAGCCTCCAGGCAACGGCTTCCAAACTAGCTCTCTTCCAGCCGTCAAGGCTCACAAACGGCGCCCTCGCCACAGCAAAACAGCAGGGCCCTGAAGGACGGACCGAGCCTCCGGGCGCCGGCTCCCACTGCCTAACGTTGCTTTCTGAACCTACAAGAAAACAAGCTCTCTTCCAGCCGTCAAACCTTCAAAAACGCGCCCTTTCCGGCCGTCACAAACATTCGAAAACGGCGCCTTCGCCAGTCTCAAAAAGGACGGTCCTGAAGGACGGGCCGGGCTTGCGGGCGACAGCCCCTAGTCAGTCCTCCTCTAACGCGCTCCCCCTGCTGGCGGCAGGGGTCGGCGGATATATATATATATATATATTACTATGTAAACATATGCATATATACATATATTCATTTATGCATATATACATATACATATATATGTATATACATACATTTATATTATTACATAGTCATACATATATACATATATACATTTATACATATACATCTATACATATATACATCTATACATATACATCTATACATCTATACATATATACATATATGTATATATACATATACATATGTACATACATATATATACATATATACATATATATACATATATACATATATACATTTATACATATATATACATATATATACATATATATACATATATACAAGTATCCATATATACATATTTACATATATACAAATATACAAATATACATATATACATATATACATATATACATTTAGACATATATATATACATATATATATATATACATATATATATACATATAGACATATATATATACACATAAATATATATATATATATGTAAACACATTTATATATATATATATATTGCTCAAACGTGCCACAATAGCCTCACCAAAGACATGATGGTTATTGAGGCGAAGCATCCCAGTGTTTGGACTAGGTTGTTTTTTGCTTGTCCCTAGACGATATATATGTATATATATATATATATTATATATATTTACCATCATGGAGGGTACGGAGTCAGGGAGGGCAAAAAGCATGCAGACCCACAGCCCCAAAAAATGGTCCCACGTCGCAGCGCAAAACCAAAGGAACGTTTCAAAAGGTGCAGGGATGCCCGTGCTGTTCTGAGCAAGCGAGGTTGAACCTTGACAGCCACAAGCAATGGAAAGACATTTGTACAGCCGGGGGCAATGTACAGGACCCTGGGCGCAACCCCTCAGCACCCCCCGACACCCCCCGACATCAAAGTTGACTTACTGTACTTCCGCACCCTGCAAAACAGCTTCACCAGGAAAGCAGCAAGAGATGGCTTTTGTGAGTGGCAACGTTGATTCCTGGGGAGCGGGGCCAGGCTTGCGTCCAACCCATTGTGATTTGCAACTCATGCCTTAGTAGTTTTTCATGCGCTCCTTACTAGTGTTGCGTCCAGGCCATTGTGATTCGGATTTTGTGCTTTAGTAGTTTTTCGTGAAATGCTCAGTAGTTTCGCGTCCAAGCCATTGTGATTCGTTCCTCATGCCCTAGTAGGCTTTGCATAAAAGCACTGGGGTTGCTTTTTTATGCAAGCCTGGGCGGGCCCAAGGCCCCAAAAGCGGAGCCTCAAATAAGTGGTAAAGCAAGCTTCTCGGGCATGTACCCTCAGAGTAATTATATCTAATATTTATAATCATGTAATAAGAACAGTGTATATTCAAGAAGGTGGGGTAAACGATTAATTTCACTTGCGTTGGAAGATGCTCTAGATTTGGGTACACCCCATCCGCAGGGGACAGCGAAGCGATGGCAGCATACTGTCCAGGGTCCCAGTTTCGCAAGATGAGCTGGGCTCTGGGGGTTTCCCGTATATGTTCAAGAGAAGTCTAGATATTTATAGGATTTTATAGGCATATCCCATTAAAACCCGCAGCTGGGATTTAGTGGAGAGAATATATACCCATGTCTATAGTTTAGCAATGGCATGTTTGATTCAACAATTGAAAGTTGGCTGCCCAACAGTGAACGTGTGGCGAGGGTTCTGCGATTCGGAACCCTGCTTGGCTGAGTGCACCCACTTACAGTACATCCCACAGATCCGCACGCTGAGAACCGACCAACTACATCACTGACATCACAGGAAGCGACTCGTCTCTCGAGCGATGGCATGGCAGCTTGGGTCCCTTGGGATGAAGATGAATATAATATATACGGGTCAAATTGAAAATTAGTGTGAATATGAAAATGAATCTCTTTATATATAATACATATATATATATATGTGTGTGTGTGTGTTTGGCTCTCTCTCTCTATATATATATATATATGAATATTTTCTGTACACATACTTTTACGACTATGATGAACTAGTATATGCAGCGTATTTCTTGAAATATGTTTTTTTGATTTATGCATGATTCAAAAACACATATCATTGATGTGGCCACCTGACATAATTCCCGTGAAACACATTACCTGTGGCTCAGCAGTCTCAAGGTTTTAGTCGTAAATCATGGCGACAGTGCTCACTGCGTCGTTGTCATTAAACAGATCCGGCAATGGCGACATCTCTGTAGCAATCATGACGTCTTTCAGTGGCAAAGGTGTGTGTAGCTTCCAGCTGCCTGGTGGAACGTTGGGAGATCTCCAGAGAGTCCTTTGTGATCCGCAGGGGCCGATGTTCTGGTGTTATCCTTGGTCTCGCCTCCTTTTCTACACAGAAGACGAGCCATTGAGGCCATTGGACATGAACCTGCAGCTGGATGCTTTTGACTCGCTTGTGATCAAGCCTGTCGATATGGAAGCATGTCTTGAGAGGTATCCACACGTTGGCAAATTCCTGGATGCTGTGCGCCGCAATAAGTTTGACCCGCGGTCAGCAAAATTTGATGCGATGTGGACAGCAAGATCAGCACCTACAGTTCCTGCTGATGAAGCTGAAGCCATGGTTCATGAAGTTCTGAGTGGATGGCCCATCCATGCAGACAGTGAACTCCATTTTGTTCGGATCTTTGGGGAGCTGACTGCTTTGGGCGAGACATGGAGTTTGCTCCACTTGGGACTGCTACAAAATTATGACCTGGGGCTCAGGAGGTTCAAGCACTGTGTTTCCAATCATTGGCTGGAGGTTGCTCGTGTTGCAGCCACTTCGGTGATTACAGAAGCACCACCCATCCTGCTCCTCAAGAGGGGGAGCAGTGGTTGCGTGATTGGTTGTGGTGTCATTGGCGATGCCTTTCCAGACAACTTTGATGCCAAATTGACACAGTGTGGGCATTTGGGTGTGTCTCCAAATGTTCATTGGAGAAACGTGTCACATGTTTTGGTGTCACTGGACTGGAACCCACAAGAAGGCTTGGCAACCTTGGAACATCTCCTGACCAAGATTAAACAGGAGCCGTGTGAGTTTGCGGCGCTCGCACACCCTGAGGTCTCTAAGATGGTCCACGTGCAGCTGCGCTTATCATTTTGCGGGATTGCAGAAGTCAAAGGGCCTATCAATGAGACATGCGTCAAGATACTCGCGGAGCTGCTTGACTACAAGCTGGAGACCGTGAAGTTTCGGAGTGTGCAAGAATTGCAGGTAGAGATCGGCGATTTCGAAGCCGAGGCGAATTACCGTGGAACATTGGTACTTGTGACAGATATTCCAGCTTCCGCAGGTAAAATCTTGCGTGGGCCACATCGCATGGTCCTTTGCTACGGTGCTGAGTAAAAAGGCCTTAAAAGCCAGAAAAAAGCACCAGCCGTTGTCCAGTGCCAGAAAATGGAGACCGTGTCAGGGCAAAAGTGCAAGGTTGGCTCACTGAAATTCAGTTGGGTTGCATGCAGTGTGACTTCCCCATGCCCGGTTTCATGTGTCTGCTTTGACGAAATTCAAGTTGGAATCCAAGGGTCCTGCCAAGTCACCAAGTCAATAGGGAGGATGAAATGGGATGCCGGAACCACCTGCCAAAGGTTTCAAAAATGGATCCTTCCAACGCAAGCAGCTCCATACCACATATTCATACTATTTAAACTATAGAAAGACTAGATACCAGGTAGATCCAGGTAGTGCCAGGCACACGCCAGGGCGAAAGTTTCGAAGAAAAATCCAGCAACGATAGGGAGAAGATGGCCTATTGGAAAGATTTTGAGATGCAGAAGCAATGAAGTGTTGAAGTTGTGAGATGCATGCACGAACGAGCAATGGTTGTTGAGATGCCAATGACATGACATGAAAGAATCCATGCACGGCTGACTCAGCGAACTAAATAAATCAATGAACCAATGAATCAGTGAATCAATGAATCAACGAATCAATGAAGCAATAAATCAAAATCAATCAATCAACCGATGAATCATTGAATCAATACTGTACATCAACGAAACAATGAATAACCAACGAATCAAAGCACCAATGAATCAGTGACTAAACAAATGAACGAATGAATGAATTGAAGGCTGGATGGCTGGATGGATGGGTGGATGGATGGGTGGATGGATGGACGAGTGAGCTACTTTTTCTTTCTTGAGCTACTTCTTCACTGAGCAACCCCTTCGCTGAGGCGCCTCTTCTCCCACAGCTACTTCTTCTCTGAGCAGCCACTTATCTGGGCTACTTCTTCTTTGAGCTGTCTTCTTCTCTATAGGTTCTGCAACCGAATTCTTCTCGTCGCCCAGCTGGTACATTCCGTTTAGCAACCTTGTAGCAGTACGGTCAAGAACTGCAGCTGTTGCAATGCGTATAGCAACCACCAGCTGCAACCCCGCTTGCCAGGAGCGTCGCAGCATCACTCATGCTTTGCTGCGCGCAGCCGTGCCAGTGCGTTTTGTCACAGCTGGTTGCAGACCCGCATAGCAGGAGCATCGCACCAAATCGATCCAAATCGACCAAGGTTCGGGTAGCGCTGACAACGGGGTTTTGACCACACAAATCTGGGGCTCCGAACGCCTCAGTTTTTAACGGTGTCTATATATGTGAAATCGAGCTCTCGCCGCAGTCCTGTGCACGTTTCGCCGACCTCATGTTCCAAAGTGCTCCGGCGTCGTCTTTTTTTTAACATTTCGAAGTGCAAATCAAGCTCTCAACAGTTCTGTGCACTTTTTGCCAACAACTTTCCCAGAGACCTATACTTCGGCGACCCCAGGAGCCACATTACCCGAAAAACATGCAGGGTGTTGCGCCCGAGAGTGGTTTCACCTGTAAATTTACGCGCTTCCGAACGGTTACACTTCCCAACTACTTGATAATGGGTGGTTGACATGATGATGTGGTTGACCTGATGATGCGGTTGACATGTGGAAATGCTAGCCATGACAGCCGCCCGTAGCTCGGAAGTTTTCTAACTAAATGTCCTTTGATGATACCGATATCTATTCATGTCTTTGGGCAAGTAAAAGGAAGTCACCAACGTTGTTGGTGAGCGGAGTCATCCCACAGATTGCAATCTTTTGAGCTCTCTGATGCAGCAGGGTGTTCTCAGATATTATATATTATTTATGTTCTTAGGGCACAAGTACAGAATTGTTATAGCCTGTTAGTTTTTCAGCATGATTTTACATATATTTTGTTACATGTATATTTATAGAGTAAAGGTTGTTTTCACTGGTTAGTAGTTCTTAGATATTCTGGAGATATTTTTGGATATTTACGTTGATAGCATGTTTGTCATTTTCCATAAAACTTGTGCAGTCGATGATGGGGCGGCTGACTTTGATTTGGGGACATCACTGTTAGGTCTGAATTGAACCATGTATTTCTTCATATCCTAGTGCTCCCCATAGTTAGAACTCCCTGGGCAGTAAAACTGCATGTTATGAATTAGTACAAGATAGCACAAGTGCGACATTTGTTATACAGGAGAGGCCTGCGCACACCCGGACCTGGAATCTGAAAGCAGCACTTGGACCAAAACCATGCCAAGTTAATCAACAATATCGACATACGAACGAAAATCAACATGTGCTCACCCAAGAGGTTCCTAATAATACCAATAAGAATCAAATTCCTTCACTAAGAAGTGAATTGTCCAATCATGTCCAATCTGTAGCGTCGCCCCAATACAAACATCAATTAAAATGCGCTTGGCGAAGAAGTTCCCTGATAAGAGCGTTTTTTTAGTTTATATCCAACCAAGGTCAAGCACAATTTGCTACCGAAGGGACTCCCTAATCAGGACCAAAGTACCTATATACAAAAAAACTTTTACAAAATGAGCAACCTAATTTAAAGCCTCAAACACATGGCCTCTTTCATTATTTCACCGTGTTACCAGCTAGGGTCAATAATCACATTAGCCAGGACTCAGTTTGAAATATGTGATGGAAAACTTGAAAATGGCAAAAACCATTACCAACAGATTTACAATTTCCATTTATTAACTAAAGGATTTTGAATGAAATAATTATAACCACGTATAGTCATGTAGATAATTCGCTATAATAAGCCGAAAAATAAACATACAGCGTCTTGCTTTATGTTCCACATATATATTTATATCTATATCTTTGTGATTTATTCTTGAGCATAGCTATGTACGTTCTGTTCTGCAAACATGTTCATGTACCCAGCATGCACTGTTCACATTCCAGATGCCCACGCGAGCAAGAAGCGTTAATCCATTTTCATGGTTAGGTAGACCGATTTAAAAACTCCAAGGTCCTCAAAGTCAGGATCCTAGATCATTTGCCATTGCGGCTAGTACAGGTTAAATTTCATATTGGGAAATGAACATGCAGCAGGGAATCATGTGTAGTCATGCATCACCAGATTTATGGATTTCCACCGAAAAAAATCCCAGATCAGCAGAACTCAGGCGCACATTTTATGATGTTGAGTTCCGCCGAAAAAATATATTTTCAGCAGAAATCCTAGGGAAAACATTGAATCAGCAGAAGTCCACTACACAAAACCAGAAGATGAGTTCCGCCGAACCATAGGTCTGAATACTATAAGTTCCGCCGAGATTTTTTTTCAGCAGAAGTCAGGTACACAATTTGTGTAGTGGAGTTCCGCTGAAAAACAAAAAACTAAAGTCCGCATTTTTTTTTGCAATCGATTCGGGGCCACAGGATCTCAAGTTTCCGCCTTTTTTTTCCAGCAGATCTCATGCCCCATAATCGTCCGCAACGGAAAAAAAGGTCCACAAAGTCCGCAGAGATTTGTCTAGCAAACCAATCTAGGACTTCAATGCAAAGTTCTGAGCCCTAGACCCTACCCTACTTATTGGCCATGGGTGGCACATGTGATCGGCAGGAACTTGCCTGGGTGACCCTTGGAAAATCGTGTAGACTTGGTGATGGGCAATATAACCACTCATTACCATGGTCTGGCCGCATGCTTTTTTAAAAGCCCCATGGACAGGAGGGTTTCATTTAAGTATTCCCTTCGCCCGCCCCCTAATAAATGCTCAATTCCACCCAAATAGGCAAAAACATGTTAAAGCATGCTAAAACTAGGTTTAAAAAAAATAATTGTAATTATAGTGCAAGTGCGACATTTGTTATACAGGAGAGGCCTGCGCACACCCGGACCTGGAATCTGAAAGCAGCACTTGGACCAAAACCATGCCAAGTTAATCAACGATACCGACATACGAACGTAAATCAACATGTGCTCGCCCAAGAGGTTCCTAATAATACCAATAAGAATCAAATTCCTTCACTAAGAAGTCAATTGTCCAATCATGTCCAATGTGTAGCGTCGCCCCAGTACAAACATCAATTAAAATGCGCTTGGCGAAGAAGTTCCCTGATAAGCGCATTTTTTTAGTTTATATCCAGCCAAGGTCAAGCACAATTTGCTACCGAAGGGACTCCCCAATCAGGACCAAAGTACCTATATACAAAAAAAACTTTAACATATAGTTTCACATTCATTTTGTATCAACCGAATCCAAGCCTCAAACACATGGCATATTTTATTGTTGAGGTCCAAGACCACCATTTCAATCCAGTTCGCCGTTTAAAGTCAATAGTAAAACTGTAGTATATGATTTTGGTCATCATTGCATTCATCATTTTTATCATTTATTTTATCATCTTCATTTTTATCATTTCAGGTATTTTTTAACATGTTGTTTCATTGTTTTAAGCGTTTTTCATTTTTCATTTTTTTTGCATTTTTGGTGGTGTTTTTATTTTTCACTTTATTTGTTTTAATCATTTTTGTTTTCATGTTTTGAGTTTTTTCATTTTGTGAAATATCAACGAAAACATCTTCCATAGCATCCTTCACCAAAGCTTTCCAGTTTGGTTTGGTTAGGATGGAAGCCGTTTTCTCAGCACCTCCTAATGTATCCAACGTCACGCAATCCAAACTTGCCATGATTCGGTCAGTTTGTGAAAGTCCTTCATAGGTGTGACTCATAGATGTCCGGCGCAAACGATACCAAGATCCAATGGCTCCGAGCTGGTTCGTCCACTCTTTGATCTGTGCTTTCCACTTTGGGTCCTGGAGGGCATGGCCAGACTAGGGCTAGGGCTAGGGAAGGCCAGAAGGGAGCCCCAGGGAGGTCAAAATGAGGAGCTTTTGGAGTATTTTTTGAGAAAAATCAGAAAATCCCAAAAATCAAAAAAACGTTGATTTTTTCTTGTTTTTCATTTTTTCATTTTTTCATGTTTTTCTTTTTTTTCATTTTTCATTTTTTTTATTTTTTCTTTTTTTTCATGTTTTCATTTTTTCAGTGTAGTCTTCAAAATGTGATCACTTCTTCGTTTTTTTCATTCCCCATTGTTTGGTGGGCAATGTGGCTTAATATGATATGTTTTCCTCCATTGCAGTTATTGCAGATATCAACCACATTTAT